TCACACTGCTAACCAGAGAGCCATGATGGAACCGATTAGGGTTGCTCTCCTGCACTGAACATGGCCGGGGTAAGGATACCGACAGCCTCTCCCATAGACCCATGGCCCATCTCATTCTTGATGGTGCCGTCTTGGGAGATACCGCCGACATCCCAGGGAAGGTCAATTTAAGAGCTCTATACAGGGATGGGTGAACTAAAATGGGGACCCTCCTGCACAGAACTGTTGACACTTTTTAATTTTTCGTTTTCCACGATGGCAATGGGTAAAAAGCCATCTTACATGAGTTCACAGCTTCCTCTATCATCGCCCAGGTTTGATTTGCCGCAGGACCTGACCTAATAACAGTCAGGACCCTCTGGGCATTTGGGAAGTTATTTGGATCCTCTATGTCTTTGTCGGCAAACTGCTTAATAGAGAGCAGGTATTTCAAGTCTTTAACTCTATTACCATAATCCCTGGCTCTCTCAGCCTGTGCTGGGGAAATCCGGCACACCTCCTCGCCAGTGTTAAAAGGAATCTTTTCTTCCTCTCTTTCTCTCCTCTTTAGTGGGGCTTCTATGCCGCTTTGTAGCAGGAGGAGGCATTTCGGCATTTTTTGCCGGTGATTGCTTGGGGGTAGATTTTTTTTTAACGGGAGAAGGAGAGGGAGTATTCATGGGGGTGTGAAAAGACCTGTGTCTATAGGGGCTGGGATCTCTGCTGTGGGGTTTGCCTTTGGATGGTGAAATAGGTGAAGGTGGGGGTTGTTTCTTTGGTGAAGGGGAGGGACTAGCAGGAGACGATGCGGGCATTGGGTCTTTCCTTTTTGCATCTAATTTCTTTTTTAACTCCTTGATCTTTTCCGACTTTTCATAGCCAGGGTCGAATTTCTTTTGCATCTCCTCGAAAGTAAGCTTAGAGGCCGGGGCATCGCCCTTAACGTTGCTAGTGGGAGTGGGACTGTTAGTGCCCTTCTTCCTTGGGGCTTCAGGGGACTGAGGACCCGCTGTCCGGCGCTTCCCTCTGGCCTTACCAGCAACCAGCCATTCCCCCCCTTCTCCACAACTGCACCGGCAGCGGGCGAAGGCTCTTTGGGGAATGTGGCTTTAGGTGACGCGCCGACCGGAGGATTAACCGACCCGGTCCCGGAGGCTGGTACGCCATTACAGGCGAGGTGGAATTTTGAGACGCGGTCAGAGGGGGGATCTTGTGTAACTGGCGCTTGACTTCCAGAGGCCTTCTTCTCTGGGCAGGAGGAGGAGAGATGACCAGTCACCCACACCTCCAGCATACCGGTCTTCGACCCGTCACAATGACCGGTAATTTCAAAGCGCCAACATCCAGACAGTTGGGGATGGAGCGGAAGGCTTTCTCGTCCAACATGATATCAAAGCTCCACCCCCGTTCAGGCTATCGCAGGAAGCTCCCAGAATCTCGCCATACCGGGAGAAGAAAGCGGCCAGATGTTCCCCGATAACCTGAGGAGGGACCTCGTATACCGTTACGCTGGTCCTTCGTCGCCCTTCGTATTCTGTACGCAATATCAGGTCGTTGTTAATTGGTTCGCGGCTAGCCGCGGCGACGCAATCTTCTGGTGTGGGCAACAGTACGTCCCCATGAAAAATTTAGCACCCTTAACTATTCTAAGGGCTTGAACCCGAAGGATTCTAGTGCTTTCAACACTGTGTTTTTCGTCGAGCGACAAATTTTGCGCGTACGCTTGTCCACGACGAAAACTGACACTATTCTTTTATCAATTCTCTTTAATTCTTGGGGGTCTTCCAAAAGACCACCTTCAACAACAAGGTGGGCGTAACTCTTGGCACGCTCCAAGAACTCCACTAAATTGATTATGCATTTAGGAGGGGACTTCCAACAAGAGGGCGAATCCCCGGCCTCTGCATTAGTATTTGCGTTGTCCGTTACTTGGTCATTACTTTTTTCAGCCTCCATATTTTTGGAGGCTTTTTTTAAAGTTTCCACAATTTCCTCGTTAGTAGGAACAGCTGGAAGGTCAGGATATTCATCCTTATTATCTTTATCCGGGGGATCCTTCTTGGGGTTGAATAGGTGTTTTCTTATACTTCTTTTAAAAGAAGCATTTTTAATTTTCTTTTTGGTAATTAAAAAAGAAGGTACTTTTTTTTCCTTCTTATCCATATTTAAAAAGGGGGGGAATGGGGAGGGTGGGGAAATGGGGAGGGGTGGGAAATAAATGTATGGGCGAGAGGAAAAGAAATAAACTCAACAAAATAAAATAATTATGGACACCAAAAAACAATTAGACGGTTCACCTAAACGTATAATAAAATACAAATATCGCCTAAAGGCGAAAAGACAAACACGTAAAAATCACAATAACAAAAAGAATTTTAACAAGACAGAACAGTTAAAGACGTAAAAAGTAACAGAAACACGTACGCTAAAACGACAAAAATACGTTCAAAATAAAAACAGCTAACAATTACAAATTACAAAACAACGAGTACGGAAATGAAAATCACATTTTAAAACGGAAAATAAACAAAAGGTATCTTTTTTTTTTAACAAAAAATACGAAACCAAAAATGCCAAACGACTTCACAAATACAATATGGCTGCCACTAGAAAAAACTAGTCAGCCCAAACACGAACGAAAATACGTAAACTAAAATAAAGAAGAACTAACGAATAGAAAAATAAATGCGGTAAATAAATGCAAAAATTTACACAGAAAAGACTTAAATAAAGGAATACAGAATAAATAACAGTTATTTACAACGAGAAAGAAACACTGAAAACACGTAGAAATAAAAATGTAAACAAAGAAAAAACGAAGTCTTACGAGGGGCAAAGAAATAAACAATGAAAAAATAAAGTTTGGTGTGGGGAAGTTACTGAAAAATAAAAAATTAGAACTCAAAAATACGTATTAAAAAAAGGAAATTAATAATAAAGAAAAACAACAAGGGATAAAGTATAAAAAAAAAAAAAAAAATAGAGGGGAGGGAAAAGAAAGAAAAAATCAAATCAAACTTTTGGCAAAAAAAAAAAGAGTCAATAAACTGAACGTAAAATAAAATAAAAAGAACTTAACGTGGACAAATGGTTGAAATCAAAATTGTTAAAAAAAAAACCATAAAATGCGTCTGGCGTCAAACACCGGTCGTACACAGTCGAAAAAAAGAACTCTCCTCAAAGAGGTAGCAAAGAGGAAAGCTCATCAGAAGAATTACCATGAAAATATTTATAGAAAAGGCACAGGGAAGCTATTCTATGAGAAGAAATAAATTTGACAATTCATATAATGAAAAAGTTGAACTTCACCAAAGGTTTTTGCCAAAATCCCCCACCAATGTGTGGATGTCAAACAAGCTAATTTTAATGCAAGAAAATGCATTTTTACTAATGGGTGGGTAAATACCCTTCATATTGGCAATACTCTTATGATGGTCCTATTTCTGGTCCACTGCACCTCCTCTTCAGCATATATTTGACCTTTTGTCTTGAAGTTTGACACTCTGGTATAAACAGTATGTGTCTAAGGAAGACCAGTTGTATACAATGGATTGTGAAGGAGCCCAGAAAACCTGAAGGAACTAGAATAGTTACTTTTAAGCAAACTACACGTGTACACGTTGGAGTAATGGATAGCAGTTCGGATTGAGGAATCCGAGAGCCGAGTTCAAATTCCAGTCAAATCCATTACATTCATGTGCTAATGAATCCTCTTCTTCTCCCCACCCAGCTATGGGTAAATAGCAGGACAGATCTTGTTCTATAGCTTTGGATAGCAACTGGTCTACCGCAGAAAGAAATGGCAACCTACTGTGGGGAAAAAATCTGCCTCGTCAGTCATGTATCGAAAGATACAGGATCGCCGAAGTGTGTATCATGCCTGGCACAAACTGACTGACTGATGTGCTAATATCCTTGGGAAAGGTATGAATCCTCTTCTCCCCCCCCCCCCCAGCTATGGGTAAATAGCAAGGCAGACTGGGTTCTATAGCCTTTGATGGCAACTGGTCTACCGCAGAAAGAAATGGCAACCTACTGCGGGGGAAAAAAAAATCTGCCTCGTCAGTCATGTATCAAATGATACATGATCGCCTAAGCATGTATCACGCATGGCACATAACTGACATCTGTACAATCATAAGTACATTAGAGATGTCCTGTAAATAGAATATGACTATGCTTACAGATATTCAATTTAGCACCTTTCCTTAGTTGGAAATGTGTTCAATTTGAGGGGTCAGTTCCTGAGTTCTGGCCCTTGCGTGAGTGTTTGGTTGCGTTTAACCCCCACTTTTTGAGTGAAACTGGATATTCATTGTACTACCACAAAGTCAGAAGTCATCATGACTGAGGGTATGACTGTACTGGCCTTGTTGAAAATTATCATGCCATATCATGCACTCTCTACAAGAAACTATAACTGAGGTCTTCTCATCATAGTTGTAGTATAAAGTTGGCTCTGTCGGTAATTTTTTTTAATATCATTTCACCCAAAGCAAGGTGATAAATCCACTAAGACGCAAGGGGTTACTGAGAGTGAAAGAAACTGAGAAAATGTTATTGAGAAGAGAGGACAGTAAAGATAACAACTGACGTTGCATTTAAATTTTTGAAAATCAGTTCACTGGAAAGTAGGAAGCTTAAAGACAGTTCCAAATGCAAGAAGTTGGAGAGAAAATCCTGTAAAGCTTATAGATATATATCTAGCAATTTTTCCAGTAAAATGAATGCACCTAGCTGCCAATTAATACAGTCTGTAAAATTGCGGTACCAAAGAGGAAAGCTTATCGGAACAATTACCTTGAAAATATTTGTGCCTGTGCAGGATTCTGCAAAAGGGATCAGCTCAACTCTCTTAGTAGAGTGGCATACTCAGATTTGAACTTCCAGCTATGCTACAGTCATCTGCTATGCAGTGTTTTATGATTGTCTTTTTAAGAACACAATGTCAAAGGTCACATTAGGGTTTTATTTATTTTATAGAAATATAAAGGAAATTTATTTGTTACATTTTATTACAGGTTCGGTGTCCATGTGGTGCAAGTTCTGAGCCAATGATTTTCTCGGAGATTGTTCATTATGTTTCTGTTACAGCTCTTGTGTAAGTAAAACCATTTTTCTTGGCCTCTTTTCCTGTTAGAGTTAGATAAACAAAATTGATTACCAAAAGCTGTGTAAAATGTATCCACATTTGTATGTGTCTGAGAGGAGGGGATCTGCCCAGAAAGTATCCAGCTATTAAATATTAATTAAATCCAAACTAAAGCAATAATGCCTTAGTCCTCTTCAAAGTCTCTTTTGGATCTCTTACTTATTCCAGCATTGAATCCACTTTCCAAATAGCCTCCAGCATCATCGGCTACATTGCTGTCATCGTCTCTTTAGTCTCATCCGGAACATTTCAATGCCTATTTTAACCAAAGTGAGGCTGGCTGACGTTGGTAAATCAATTCCCCCACATTAAAAAAAAAAAAAAAAAAAATTCATTTTAAACTTTGTCTATCATCCTGCACACTCAAAACTTAAAGAAAATATGCCCTCAAGTAAGATTTGAACATGCATTTCCCTTTCCAAGAGAAACTACTGATCTATTATAATTTTATATATATATATATATATATATATATATATATATATATATATATATATATAGTGTAACCCGGATATAAGAGATTTTCTCTGGTCCCAAATTAGAGCCCATACTTACCTAAACAAAATAGACCAAACCTGGATATAAGCGACTTCTTCTCCCGTCCTGACAACTCTCTTATATCCGGGTTACACTATATATATATATATATATATATATATATATATATATAGTATGACAAATTCAGAAAGGTTTTTGTGATGTGTTTCATCCATTAGAATTTCATCGAGCTAAAATAAAATGTCACAAAAACTTACCCAATTCGTCATACTACTTTTCTAAATATTGTTTGTTCATGCATAAAATTTATATTTTTGATATATACATACACACACACACACACACACAATCTGCTGGTATAATCCAGGTGAGTTCTCTTAACTAAACAGAATTTGAAATATGTTAAAAGTGATTCACAAAAGAGTGCTCAATGTTTATTTTCGATAAACAGAGCAAATTTTCTTTACAATTGGAATTAAGATACTTTTAGTTAATGACCATTTTCACCTATGATTTTTAATTTTATTCACAGGATTTTTCAAACTGTTTTATGGTATCGGTTTGGCTAGTATCCCACTACAAACTGATACCATAAACGTAGGTCATTCACTAAAGGTATCTTAATTCCAATTGTAAAGAAAATTTGCTCTGTTTATTGAAAATAAACATTGAGCACTCCTTTGTGAGTCACTTTTAACATATTTCAAATTCTGTTTTGTTAATAGAACTCACCTGGATTATACCAGCAGATTACTGTGTGTGTGTGTATATATATATATATATATATATATAAAATCTCTCTCATATATATATATATATATATATATATATATATATATATAAAAAATCTCTTTTCATTTTTATTTTTCTATTTTCCAGTTCTCTTGCAAGCAAAATCATAGCAGTAGATCAGAAGATTTCGACAAGTGGGTTTGGAATGTTGCTTCGTAATGCTCGAAGTGAAGGTGATATCAGAGATTGTCCAGTGAGTGTTTTTGCTGTATTTAGTATCTGAATAAGATACTTTCAGAATAGACATGGTGAAGTGCCAAAGTATTCAAAGAATCTGATGGTTGGTCAAGTTCTCTATTTTTTTTTTTTTTTTTTTTTCGGCAGCACTTTTTAGAAGTCTGGTCAAAAAAAAGAAAAGTGTAACAGAAAACGATTGTATGTTTGTTTTCTTCTTTTTTTTTTTTTTTTCTTTTATCATTTCACTCCAAGCAAGGCATTAATGCCACTAAGACACAAGTGGTTACTGAGAGTGAAAGAGAAAGAAAAAACAAGAGATATACTCCTGTTCAAAAGACAGGAAAGGAGTGTGAATCTATCTACTCATTACTGTTAGTGTCTTAGTGGCATCAACTCCTTGTTTGGGGTGAAATGATGTAGGTTTTTTTTTTTTGTGTGTGTATAAACATTTTGCCCATTTCTGTAGAAACTGTGAAAATTATACTCTCCAAATATGTTCTTTGTGACACTCAGGTACCTGTCAAGGTCAAAAGTGGTGAGATTGTTTTGTAATGTTCGTTTGTAGGAGATTTTGTAAATCACAGATACAGTAAGAGTAACATCTTCAAACAAATGCTTGATCAGATACTGCTAACTCCTATATATATATATATATTTGTGTAAAAATATATAGAAAATAGGAAAGAACTTGTTAGGTAAATAATCCAAAGTTCTTTAGTATTTTTGTTATTATTTTTAAAAAAACAGTGCTGGATACAAAAGTAGAGCATAAATATAATTATTTATTTAAAAATATGATTCCAACGCTACATAAGAGTTCTCATGTTTCAAAACAAGAGCTGAAAACTTCAATATAATTATTTGAATTAAAGTACTAAGCTCTGTTCCATCTTCAAGCGAAAATTTCCAAATATCCAAAAAAATTTTGCTTGAACATGGAACAGAGCTTAGTACTTTATATCAAATAATTATATTGAAGTGGAATCATATTTTTAAATAAATAATTATATATATATATATATATATATATATATATATTTTCCTTTATTTGTCATGTGAGCTAATTATTTCAAGATGTCGACCATGCTTGCCCTGTGGTGATCCGTGTTCAAACCCAAGTATCAGCAGCAACACTTTATTCCTATATGACACTAAGGAATGCAGCTTGTTGGAATGTGTGAAAATATTGATAGTGCAATGAGTGGTTTTGTTTTGCTTGTGGGAAAGGGATCCTAGGATGTTAAATAATTCATACCTATAACTTGTTAATTTTAAATTCAGTTATGTGCTGTACGTGATACACACTTAGGTGATCATGTCTCTTTCACTATATGACTGACGAGGCAAAAGATTTTCCTTTAGTCGCTTGTGTTGGTGGGACAGGGGAGAGCATCCAGACATAATTGGAATCGAGATAACACCACCTCTTCCCTTTCTTACATGGGTAGGTATAGTATTACACGCCCATTTGTTGATCAGATATTTAACTTCACCACACCTTGAATATTTTGTTATGATCATATACTCATGCATTGGTGCGATTTTATTGTACTATTTATGATATTTTTTCTTTTTTCGTTCTTTTTTACAGAAAATGTGTGGCAGGAAGGTACCAATCCGTAGAACTTTGTACAATCAGCCAGATGTAGGTAAGGGAATATGTATTTAATTCCTTTGAGTATGATATTTTGGGCCATGGCATCTTCAAGTTAGAGGCTGGCACCTTTCTTTTTTTTTTTTTTTTTTTTTTTTAATATTTTTTTGTCAGAAAAAAACTTGTAATGGCTATGGAACCCAGTCTGTCCTGCTATTTACCTATGGCTGGAGGGAGAAGAGGTTTCATACTATTCTCCAAGGGTAATAGCACGTAGGTGAATGCAATAGGTTCTAATGGAATTCAAAGTCGGCCTCTCTGATTCCTCAATCCAAGCCACTATCCATTACACCACTGTGCATCCTCGATTAAATAAATATATATTAGGTTGGTGCAAAAATAATGACGTAATAATGTCGTTTTTTGACGTTAAAAAATATGTCAAAAAACGCACCAACCTTATATATACACACACTTGAAAACTTGTAAAGGAACTTGTTGAAATTGTGTGTTATATTCTGAGACCAAGGGAAAATTAATATGTATTACAGGCATTCACTCCCTGCTCTATTTTTAAATGAAAAAGGCTATTTAACTGTAGTTTCATATATATATATATATATATATATATATATATATAAATATATATATATATATATATGATAGTAATTGTGTGTCAGTGTGTCACACTGTTTCAACTTTACTTCTAGAAGCTATAGCCCAACATATCATACCATTTTGGAATCTGGCCAACTCTGTGAGCAAATTAAAAAAATTCCAAAATTTTGGATTCCTAAATTTTCATTACTGCAATTGTTTCTGTAGATTTTTTTTTTTTTTAATTGTGAAATCCAGTGAAAGTCGCCAAAGAAATAAAAAAATAATTGTTTGTACGGAAAAGAAGGATCTATGTACATCATCTTGTCTTTAAATTAAGTGTCAGCAGAAGAATTATTGTTGAACTTTTAAAAGGTAAGCTTAGATATTAATGCAATACATAAATGCAGCGATCAATTTTGAGTTCTTCTGTAGTTTATTATTGCTTATCACATCTACTCCTTCTTACCTATTTTGATGAAGACCAAATCAAGAGCCCTCTGCAGGAGCTAGCTTAAATGCAACCCAACAGAGCAGCTTTTAAGCTAGTGTGTGTGTATATATATATATATATATATATATATATATAATAAGATGAAGACTTTAATTATCCATTTTGTTTATAATTTTTATTTTGTGTGCACTGAGATGTTCAGCTTGTAAGAATAAAAACTTCTCAGTGTTCACAAAATAAAAATTATAAACAAAATGGATAATTAAAGTCTCCTTCTTCTTATTATCATTATAATGCTCTGTAGTCTACATTGAGCTCTCCCTGGATTTATATCCTCCTTGGAATTATCCCTTTCAGTCACAAACTGGTAAAACGTGTATATATATATATATATATATATATATATAAACTGATATTCTGTAACCTCTTAATCTGGCCAAATATATGAGCAATCATTTGCATGGCTTTCCATTGACAAACTAATTCACTGGGTGGCCACCACAGATGTCATTATGTGCAGTACATGATCACTTAATTATTTCTGTCAATGGTGTTCCGGAGATACAAGATATGCATAATTAGTGGGTCAGAGGTATATTATTCAATTAACATGTGACTTCTGTTACTCTGTGTGTGTGTGTGTGTGTGTGTGTGTGTGTGTGTGTGTGCATGCACACACCCAAAGTAATTAAGACTTCTCTTATGAATCTTAAAATTCTTAGAGTTTCTTTGATGATATAAAAATAATTCTATCAGTGACGTAAATAATTCTTTTTTGTTTTCTTTTTAGTGAGTATTGGACTCGTATGGAACTCTGATTGCCCAAGTACAGAACTTATTTCAGCCGTTATGATGAATATAAGAACAACCATTTATCTCCAGGATGTAAGTAAATGTTTACTTTTGTAAAAGATACTGAACAGATCTCAAAGGGTTCTGTTTGATTGGGGTTAAAGATTTTATTTTTATTACTATTATTATAATTAATACTATTTTAAAAATACTTTTATAGATTGTCAAATCTTAGATTTCCCTCACTAACTTTTTCTCTTTCTTATTAATATTCATTTTTCTTTTTGAACATTATTCTTTTCCTTTCTTTTTTTCTTTTTCCTTTTCTTTTTTTTTCCTTTCCTTTTTTTTTTTCCTTTTCTTTTTTTTTCCTTTCTCTACCTTTTTTTCCTTTCTCTACCTTTTTTTCCTTTCTCTACCTTTTTTTCCTTTCTCTACCTTTTTTTTTTTAATGGATGTCACTTATCCGTTATAAAGGCATTGGTTAGATCCAGTGACAGGACCCAGTTAAGGCAGTAGAGAACTTGGAGAGGGGAATTAACAGGAGATAACTGATAACTGACATCCGTTAAACATGGCACGTGGAACTAGAACAGTCTACACCAGTGAGTGAAATAAAGGGTTCAGTTCGACATTCCTACCACCTGAAGAAGGCCAGAGCATACAACGGCCGAAATGTTGTAATAAATATAGCAACAAAGATGAGGACAATAGTCCAAATAATGTAAATAGTGTGTGTGTGTGTGTATATATATATATATATATATATATATATATATATATATATATATATATAAAAAAGAAGAGGGGTGCATAAACGTTTTTGGTTTGTAATGTGGATTTATTGAGAAAAAATATTATACTTTGTTTTACATAATTTCACGAACGTGTTTCTGGTCTTTTCTTCAGGAGAAATATTTTTCATATTATTAAAATAATTAATTTTTTTCGAGAATAACATTGAACATGAAAAAATTAATTATTTTAATAATATGTAAAAATCTCACTTTCACCTGAAGACAGACGGATAGACCAGACCAGAAACACGTGTCGTGAAATTATGTAAAACAAAGTATAATATTTTTCTCAATAAATCCACATTACAACCAAAAACGTTTGCGGCACCCTCTTCTTTTTAATATACATACTTTTCTCTCGTTGGAACCACTACAACATATTTCCTTTATATATATATATATATACTTCATTAATACATGTTTTGATTAAAGGCAAAAACAAATTTTTTTGCTTCTTTTTTTTTTAATCTTTCCTGTTACCATGCAAATGACTATAAGTTAATATATGCAAGATTTTTTTCCAAAATTTTGATGCATAATTTTGATTATTTAACCACTGTCATTATTCAAGAACCAAATGACCCTGGAGACAAAAATTGTGCTTATTAGTGTTTTTAAAAATTTACTTCAATCTTAGCCTTAATACTACTTGAGCCATATTTAGCATTTTTCTTTTCTTGCAGATGTTTCATTCTTCTAATGTGAAGGACTTACCAGAACTTCACTTAGTGGGTCTTGTTTGCTATTATGGCAAACATTATTCCACATTCGTGTTTCACACACGCGACAAGAGTTGGTACTATTTTGATGATGCAACTGTCAAAGAGGTGAGGGATTTTTTCTCTGAATTTCTGGAATAAGCAGTTATTGTTGTTCTTTTATATACTATGTCCCTTCAGGACATGGGTAGTCTTGGCTCCCTACAACTTCCTATCCTTTGTAACTCTTAGCAATGTTTGTTTTTTTACTATTCTTCCCACCCTATGCTGTGCCATCCATTTACAGAAGCTTATTCGGTAGATTACTCTGTTTCCTACTACCCCTCTCGCCTTCAATATTTCCCATGAGTGCTGGATTCTCCAAGCCTTTTTTCGCCATTATTTGCCCCAGAAATTTCTATCCCCTTCTGATTTTAAGCATAAGTGTCATCTTTGTTTCCATTTTCCTTAAAATTTCATCAATGCTCTCTTGCTTTATCCATGATATTCTCAGCACCCTACTGTAGAGCCACATTCCTAATGCCTCAAGTTTTCTTATCTATGGATAAACATTGGTCAGGTTTTATAACTGAGCCTACAGGTAAACATTGGTCTGGTTTTATAACTGGGTATGCAAGCATCCAGCTGGCTTTTGACCACCTTTAGTGTGAATTTATCCTCTCCAGGATAAATAAGCAGTTACATTTTATGACATACCAACTTCTATTGGGTTAGTTAATATCAAAAATTCTTTTTATACTTGATTCCACAGGTAAATATGTTTACATCTGAGTCTATAGACAAATATTTGTTGCTCATACATGTGAATACAAGCATCTACATAGTACATTGTACTTTTTCATGGTGGTAATACATCTTTGCAGGCAATGGAGTTGGCATATTGGACTCTTCATGGTCCATGTGTAGAAACTTTAAAATTTTAGAAGGTACATGTCACTTTTTTTTTCCTTTTTTACTTAGATGAAGTCTGGACAAAGCTAGGTTACCACTATGTGTGTTATGGTTATATTAAGAAAAAAAAAAATCCCTTTGCTATAAAAGTCTGATCACCTTATTCTGAATGTTATTTTGGTCAACAACCATTCAACTCTTATCTGGATTTCCTTTTCAGATGGGAACCAATTGGGAAAATGTTGCAGAGAAATGCTGCCGAAGCCACTATCAACCCTTATTGTTGCTGTATGCTAACCCCAATGGGACTCCAATCCATACAGCAGAAGCACCCCAAAATGTTATCATGGCCCCTGGGTTTAAGTTGGGTAAGTATATTGTGATACTGTTGTAGAGTAGTTTTCACAGTGGAGGCTTGTATTTCAATAAGTCGTCCTAAATTAGGTCCGACATACAAAACGTTAAGAACTTGGAAATAAGAGTTAATGACGCAGCAATCTAGTTGTGATGGTTGGTACTTCAATCTCCGATATCGACTGACTCACTCAACACCACTGAGCCAAACTGGCCACTGCTACTACTACTTATCTGTGGGCGAGTCCATTACAATAGAATAGGTATTATGGCATAACAGATACCCACCGACTCAGTTTATTTGTTGAAATGTAAAATGTGACATTTGCCTTTGTTCATCTTCCCACGGGGCCTCAGACTTAACTCAGAGGCCTACACCAAGTGCCTTGAGGAGGCAGTGCTGCTCTGGATCAAGAGAGTGGCTGCTGGAAGACCCTATGTCTGACCGCACGACTCTACACCATGCCACACAAGCAGGAGAACCCAGTCATGGTTGCTAGACAATTTCTGCGACCACATCACGCCTTACATCGTGCCACCTAACTCCTCAGATGGCAACCCCTTTGATTATTATGTGTTATGGAGCGCAGTTGAACGAGAGACCAACAAAACTACTTGTATTAGGTTGGTGCAAAAATAATGACGTAATAATGTCGTTTTTTGACATATTTTTTAACGTCAAAAAACGACATTATTACGTCATTATTTTTGCACCAACCTAATAATACCAAAGATGAACTGAAGGCAAGGATTATGGCAGCATTCACCGACTTAAACAAGGAGACCATCCAGAAGAGTTGCAGGAGATTCTGAAGTTGTCTGTAGGACATGATTGATGGCAATGGCAAATTTATTAAATAAATTTACTCTTTAGTATTTCAAGATATTTTGGGGTAATTTTGGTAAATATATCTGTTAAAATGAGATGCCAGCGTTATTTTCATTTTTGCATAATTTAGACAATAATTTATTCATCGCACTCTGAATAACGTACATTAAAACTATATTTTTGTCATATTTTCTTTGTGCAGCTCCAAACTGTATGCCAAGAAGTCAGTCAGCTGATTTGAGACGAGCGATCACTCCTAATCCTGACATGCACAGCAGCTATGTAGAAACTCAGAACCGTCGTGCCATCACCCCAGGACCTGACACTTGTCACCGTTATATTGAATCTGATAGAGATTCCATCAGCTCTGCTAATACCGATCATCAGCGTCAACCCAGTTTCCTGATGGCTATTTCTGGCCAAGAGGACACAGCGTCTTCATCCAGTCACGTGACCAATCAGAGCTCCCACTACGATTCCTATGGGTCTCACTCTGCTCCAGTCAGTCTCCAATCGTCCAAACCAAACAGTGTCACTTCCGAGACGGACAATCAAAATTTGCTGGGGGAATATGTATGCAGCAATGGAATTTTGCAGGCGTCATTTCAACAAAACGGAAATTCCATTGGTGGGGTTTACAATGTTCAGCAAGCTGCGGGAGGGGGTAGAATTCCGCCGTCGGCCATAAATATGGAGAAAACTTTTGAGATTCAGAAACAGGAGAGTTTCAAAAAGGGCAAGAGAGTTCCAGCCGACTTAATCCGATACCAAGTTGATAATGGTTACCCAAAAGCCGATGATGCTAATTCCTTAAATGGAAGGTACAAAGGCGGACCTAGTCTGCCTGGAGGAACATACAAAGAACCAAGAGAATCTCCAGTCATTTCTCACAATGGCTATAACTTTCCCAATCGTAGCCATCAGATTATCAAACCAACGGCCCAAAATATGAACTCTAATTATTACGAAAACGTTGACGGCAACCCACTTCATTACGCAACTTTACCTCGTAACAGAGATTCTACAACCGTGAAACGTCCATCCTCGAGCACACCTTTGATGCAGCCACCTCAGAATTCTCGGCCTCCATCCACTACTCCTCCCTCGTCTTTACAATCTCAGCACCGACAACCGACAGCCAAGTTAGAGAATGGCTTCCATGGATGCTACAGTGGTCAAGCTCGTAAAACTGGTCATCAGGGCGTGTTTGGAAATGGTCCATTTAATGGACATATGGTCAGAAGTGCATCTGCACATTCGTTGTCTTCGACTAACAGCAGAACAAACAGCGAAAGTTCTTCGTTTTCTCAGCAACAGCAGATTCTCGGCAAATCCTACCTGGATCAGGACGACACTTATGACCAGGACAATTATTACATCGATCGGAAGACTGTGAAAAACGTTATGAAAAGATTGCACATGAAGTCTCCGTTGCCGCAAAGAAAAACTCTTAGCGGCAGCCATTTGTCTAACAAGAATTTGTTGTTCAATGGTGACAACTCAAAGACTGAGCTAAGTGAAGCTCTCACTTTAGAAATTCCATACGACAATCTGTCGTTGGAATCTCACCGAGATTCAGGATATGGAAGCAGTGACCGCAACAGCTCTAGTTCAACAAGTAGCATAACGATGGATACCCATTATTTCGGCCCTGTCAGTAAGGTCAACCCATTAAAAAACCAGCCAAAAGATTCGATTCAGGGAAGTCAGTTTAAAAGCTTGCCGCAGTCAAAAGACGACGTCTACTACATGACCCAAAAAAAGACCACTGTAGATTCCATTGAATCTAAGGGTATCTACCTGCCCAGAAAGGGTAGTGTAGACAGTGGTCTTGATGGACCATTGTATCCAACAGACCTCACTTGTGCAGATGTCTTGATTGGTTCCAAGCCCCCAGCTATTAACAATATGCCAATGTCTTCTTCCTCTCAAGCAATTCGTTCCACCCTCCTACAGCAAGGGAAGAAACTGCTACCTGATAAGCCAATGGGTAGCCATATTGTACGAGGTAAGTGAGGTCTTTTTTTATTTATTCATTTTTTTAATTTTTTTTTTTTGTAATACCTCTGGTTTGTCTAAAAGTATTCAGCTACTGTAATTGACAGTAAATATGGCCTGAAGCTTGTATAAAAATATTGGAAGCCCAATCTGCCCATCATGACACCGCATCTGGTGAGAGGATACCAGACATATGTCTTACAGCCAAATGTATGCAATATGGTGACCGGTTTTGATAAAAGTAGTGCATAACCTTTCAGGTTGGGCACATTTACAAATACTTTCAGGTTAGGAAACACAGTCCATTCAAACAATCTATGATTGGAAGCGTTCCCAAGTATCTAGGTATGAGTTCCAAATTGTCTTAGCTGCTTCGTCATTCAAACTAAAATTTGAAGTGCATTCAAGCATAAAACAAACTGTCACCTCTCAACATTGACCTCAGCGTCTACACGTGTGTGTGTTGTTTATGGTGAATGTAAGACTTTTTTAATACATTTTGTGTGTGTGTGTATATGTATTTGTGTGTGTGTGTGTGTATATGTATTTGTGTGTGTGTATATGTATTTGTGTGTGTGTGTATATGTATTTGTGTGTGTGTGTATATGTATTTGTGTGTGTGTGTATATGTATTTGTGTGTGTGTGTATATGTATTTGTGTGTGTATGTGAAAATGCAGTGTGTGTGTGTATGTGAAAATGCAGTGTGTGTGTGTATGTGAAAATGCAGTGTGTGTGTGTATGTGAAAATGCAGTGTGTGTGTGTATGTGAATATGCAGTATGTGATTATGTATGTGTGTATGTGAATATGCAGTATGTATGTATGTGTATTTATATGTATATGTATTTACTTGCTCCATATGTGGCCTCCTTTGTAAATCACTAGCAGGTTTTATTGCACCTTATTTCATAACTGAATCATTAAGCTGTCAGATCCTCATACATCAACACCGACGGGAGAGTCCATTATATGTATGTGTGTATATGTATGTATGTGTGTGCATGCGTGTATACATTAAAAGAAGATCATGGAATTCAAATGTTTTTTGTTTTTTTTTGTTTTTTTCTAACTTGCAATACTTAGTGTAAATGTAAGTGTAGACAAATTTAATTTTGACTCCTGTTCAGGTAAAGGGAATTTTTTGAGGGGGCAAAAAAAATATCCTAGGTTGAAATGAAAAGAAAGAAAACCTCTTACATGGAATTTTTTTTTACCTTTTTATTCATGAGCATCATGTTTTTTTTTTTTTCTTTTCTTCTAGATGCCAGGACGAAGGCCATTATTTCGACGCAACCCAATCCGAGTCCAGCCAATGGAAATGACTTGATAAGTTTCAAATCTGGGATCCAGAATAATATGAATTCTATCCAAGCAAATAAAGGTATGCAATTTGAATCAAGAAGATTTTAAAAATTGCTTAATTTACGTTTAATTAAATCTGTAAGTTAATTTTTTTTTTTTTTTTAATAATAATAATAATAATCAGGAAACCTAACAAAAAAAAAAAAAAAAAAAATTAACAATTTTAAAATCATTTTAAATTGTTCATCAATTTTTCCAAATTACCATATTTGATGGCATATAAGACCCATATTTTCCCAAATATTAAAATTACAAAAAATCTACCCAACTGTAAGGAAATGCTTGTCAGTCCACTGTGGGCACAGAAACTCCTAGATGATTTTCAATCAAACTTGGCAGGCAGATAGCCTTAGATGCTCTCTAGGTCAATATCTATGTAAACTTGACCTACATCAACCCTAAAGGGTAAAAAAAAAGGTCAAAGAAACCATTTCTCATGGAAGTTTAATATAAATACCCCCCCCCTCAAAAAAATATGTATATATATATGTGCATTTAGGTAGCAATCCTTCTTTCATGCACATTTCATTGAATACGACAGGCAAGGTGCTTTGATTTACTTTTTTATACAATTTCTCATGCGATCTAATTTTTTTTCTTTTCAGATGATAAATTATATAAAAAGTGTCCGAATGTTCTTTTTATCCAAGTGCTTTCAGCTGTAGATTTAGCCATTTTCAAGGATTAAATATTTTAACGGTTAAAAGAAGAAATAGTTTGTTGTATGTATGTTTTATAAAATGTTTTCATTTTTCAAAACATTGTCAACATATTGTGTCTATGTCCAAAGTTAATATCATTAAGTGTTGGGTTTTTTGTTTTTATTAATAAGGCTTCCATTATTTTTAGCCTTTTTTTACATGCAGATGATGCTATTATATTAGTGTTATCAACAAATATGTTACGAATAGTTAAAATATTTAATCCTTGAAAATGGCTAAATGTATAGCCAAAAGTGCTCGGATAAAAAGAACATTCAGTTAGTTTTTATATAATTTATCATCTGAAAAGAAAAATATTAGATCGCATGAAAAATTGCATAAAAAAAAAAAACTAAATAAAAGCACCTTGTCTGTCATATTCAATGAAATATATATATATATATATATATATATATACACACACACATATATATATATATATATATATATATATATATATATATGAGAGAGCAAGATAGATAGTGGTAAGGGAGGTAAATCAACTTTTGGAACTTACAACTACATCACATTGAAACATTGGTTCCTATATGGTCACCAAAGTTAAGCAACATTAAGACTGGTCAGTACCTAGATGGGTGACCGCTTGTTAATACCAGGTGCTGTAAGCTTGGATATGCAGATGGTGTAATGAATAATAGCTTAGAATTGTTAATCAGAGAGCCGAGTTCAACTTCCAGTTGGGTTCGTTCATTATATTCACTTTGAAGCATTAATAAAAGCAAAACTTGTTAGATTTATATAGACGTTTCCTATTTGTTCCTTATCCTATCAAATATGAGTTGTAGAGGTATAGGTTGTTAGGAAAAATATGCATATATCAGAAAGTATTATTTGTGTTGGCTGTGTGAAAATAACTTCTCCAGAAACATTTAACTTTGGGTATGGCACAAGGTCATCAAATCCAAAATATAAAACGATATGTTTTCTAGATATAACAAAACATTTTTATATTAAAATATACCAATCTGAAGAATGAATTTACTCAGGTAATTTAAACTGAGTTGCAAATTGTTAAAGTGTATGCTACTAAGTAGCATTTATAATTAATAATATAGCAGGAGTTATTCCCCTTTAACTTGAAATTCTTAGCCTTTTAAGAGAAAATGTTTTTTATCTGAACTCACAGAAAAGATTTCGGTTCATGAAATAAAGTTCAGCCTCAGTGAAAGAAATGTTCAAAGTTGCTTTTTGAATAAAATATTTGTTTGGCAAACTCTATGTTCTTTGAGTAGAATTCTTGTCTCGATAAAAATCGTAGATGTTTAAACTGAAGTGTAGATTGTTGGTGAGTGAGTGAATTCGAAATTTGGGATTATGTTAAGAAATCTAACTTAGAAACTTCAAAGATTTGAACGGCGTGAATTTGTTTGTCTATATTTCTGAGATGAGGTATTATGTACATTATTTACATTATTCGGACTATTGTCCTCATCTTTGAATTTGTTTGGCGAATTGTTTGATGCTGCCAAGCTCACTGTTAGAAGTTGAATCAGTTTCTGTTGCTTGTAGTTGAAGGAGTGACTAAGATAAGTTAAAAAATATGCAATGTTCGTACGTAAGTGTGTGTGTCATAGCATCTTCCCATAAGGGACAGACGCAAGGCTCTTCACTGAGCTATATTGTTATGGTTCTGAGAAAAACAGAGGAAAAAAAAAAGAAGAGTTGAAAATGTTGCTTGGTATTTATAATGTTGTATGTCACGTGATATGCTCAAAACACGTAGACAGATTTTTGGTGCTAAATTAATTTAAACCATGCAGACATCGTGGAAAACATGATATTGGCATTAACTGACCAATCAGGAATGAGAAAAATATTAAGGCTTTGTGATCCACTTTTTTATTTTACAGATTTTGTCGACCGCAGTACTGTTACATAGGAAATGTATTGGAATCTTTTTTAACCAATGGAATTAAATCACAAATAAAATATTTTTAAATTGAAGTAGAACATTAAATATGGAATAACGATATATATTTTTTATATATAAAGAACAATTTTTGAGGAAAGATATATGACAAAGTCGAATTTTGAATGAGACACTGGGAATTTCAAATTATTTTTTTTTGTTTTCGTTTTTTGCCAAATCAGCTAGATATGCCCCAAAAAGTTTTTTGAGTATATAATCTCACTGATTTAATTTAGATTCTTTTTCTTTATTTTATTTTATTTTTTTCTATCACCTTTGTTATTAATTATACCACATTGTGATAACACAAGATCTGTTAAGAATGGTGAAACTTTGTAAAGACCTGGATGCAAATCTATGGTGGATGTTTAAATGCACTTTCTAAAGATTTTCGTCTTCTTAATGAATTGTTTTCTCTTTGAATTCTGGTCCTTCTCGTTACGATGCATTTAATGTTTTGTAAAAGATCACTTTTGCATTCATATAATCCTTTATTAATATATCAATGTGTTTGCGAGGGGAAAGTTTTTGCAGTTTTCAAAAATATTCTTGAAATATTCATTTACTGATATATTGGTGTGTGGGGGGGATACCAAGGGAGATAAGCATTTTTTGCAGTTGTTTCCCTTGTTAAATAATGTCCCAAGTTTTAAGCTGAAACATTGGAATAAATTATAGCTATAATTATGTGAAAAATTCACGAAATAGGTTTGTTGTGAAGATGATTAGATTATCATTGTGTATCAGCGATATCATTATCACTCACTATATATATATATATATATATATATATATATATATAGTAATGGAATAATCTGTTACCCCCATGACTGACTACACTATAGGTAGTAACAGCCTATAAGTATCTGTAAGTCAACAGACAAAGAGTCTAGCTGGGATTTGTTTAGTACAAATCAGACTTACGCGAGAACTACCAACCTTCCAATAGTATCACTCACTACTGGATTGACTTGCATTCTTATTGTACTGGTTTTTCACAATAAACCTTTACTTATTTTATCTACTGTGTTTTTTCAAGTATATATTCCTCTTAGCACGGAATATAACATATATATATATATATATATATATATATATATATATATATATGAAAAATTTCTCAGAGTTAACCTGTAGAAAAAGACAATATGTAAACTGTATTATTAGCCAGTGCATTTCGTCCAATGTGGATTTTTTCAAGGAAATGAATTTATTGAAAACAAAATAACTATTAACAACAAATAAAATATCCTTAGCAACTAGAAGAATTTAGAAAACGCTATTGTATTCATATTCTCAAGAGAAAATTACGTCCATTACTATCACGTGTCGAAATATTTTTTTTTATTGTTGTATCGCTGGATTCAGCCATTTTATCTTGATTTCTTGATACAGTTGTGTATGTTGGCTTGGGAGAGCAGTAATTCTGTAAAGAAAGGTGATATTGAGAAAGAACCTGGGTGTAGATTGATATATCAACAACTATATCAAGAAATCAAAAGAAAATGCTTGAATCCGTCAATATAATCTAGCCAAGTTTGTCTGTATTCTTCTTCTTTTTTCTCTCCGTCACCTTTGACCCTGACTATCCCACACTGTGACAATATAAAATCTACCAAGAATGGTGATATATTGTAAGAGCCTGGACACAAATTTATCTAAATATTGTTTGTTGATATGTAAAATTTTGTATAATATATATATCTATATATATTTAATTATCTATGCAGGTTCCTCTTCTCAAGATGAATATGTCCAGCGATGTTGTCTTCAAGTAGATGACCTGATGGAACAATGTGCCTCAGCTGAGTCCAAAGCAGACCTTCGTATGGCCATTTGCCATTGTGATAAAGCTATTGGTAAGTAATATACTAAAATAAACATTTTTCTCTCTCACTTTATAATTAGGCAAGTTTTGTTTGCCTTTCATGTCAGTTGATCAACAATATGTGACATAAAGTTTTTAGATGACACCATATTCATTTTTTTTTTTTTTTTTCTAGTTTTTTTGTAACCGAGAAAGATTTTTGTCATAGATGTTTCACTAAAAATGGTAATTAACCTATTAATACATCCCCCCAAACCTCAGATATCGGTTAAATAGTAAGACTTGTGTCTGGAAAAAAATCATTATCTTTTAAAAAAAAAAAAAAATTAATGCAATATTCACTTTCAAAAATAAAAAAATAAACACAAATATTCGGCTTTAAATAAACTGCTGTAACATAAAAAAAAACTCTTTATATAATTCTTCAGTATGCAATCTGGTCTTACTCAAAATAGATTTTTTTATTTTTTTTTTTTTTTTAATTTTTATTTTATTTTTCATTTCACCCCAAGCAAAGCAATAAAGCCACTAAGATGCAGGGGGTTACTGAGTGTGAGAGAATAAGAAGAAAAAAAACATTAAGGAGAAAGAACAATAAAGGAACAGGTATTAAGACAAAAGACAATGATTGTTATTGGAGTTAAGTTTCTGAAGATCAAAATTGGTCAGAAAGCAAGAACCTGGAAGAGGGTTCCATAAACAAGATGTGAAATGCAAGAGAAGAAACTAGCCATTTCAACTGTAAAACGATGAGACAATGCTGACAATCTGATACTGAAAACATGTACTTGTGTATAATATGACCGCCTTTTTTTTCTTTTTTTTTTTTTTACCTTTTAACTACATACAAAATTGTTCATATGATACACTATAAAATACAGGAATTTTAGGATCTGGGAGTTGATTAGGTGGGGCATTGCCAAAGAAAGGTTGGAAACCACTGCTTTAAACTATTTACATGACTACTATTTTTCCAATCTTTGTTGTCATTATCATAACATTTAGGCAGTTATGCTCTTCAGTCTTCATCGGGTGTATGTCAATCCAGGTAGCCTACTGGAATACACGATGAATGCTAGTGGGGATTGCTTTCCTTTTTCTTTTTTTTCTTTTTTAAATCATTTGTTATGTCTCTAAAGAAATATATAAATAAAAAAATAATTATAGTGTCAAAAATAATTATAATTATAACAGTTATAATTATCATTAATTCACTGTTTCTAAACCAATGAGAATCGACCTCTACAAACACAAACTCATGACGTTCTCACTATCGGACAAGCAGTCAACACAGACAGACCATTAACACATGCGTCAATAAAAATTTCAGCTCCTTTGCCTTTTTCAGATCATAATAGTAACATTTATCTATTAGCACTTGATTAATTATACTGTCACTTTGTCATGCCCATAAAAAAAGTAAATAAATAAAAATGAGTTATAGTGTCAAATAATTATAAAATAACTTTTCTACTTCACATGCACATGAAAGGGTAAGGAAGGAAAAAAAAACATGAAGAAGGGAAGGAAGGGAAAAAACATGAAGGGAAGGAAGGGAAAAAACATGAAGGGAAGGAGGGGAAAAACATGAAGAAAAGGGAAGGAAGGGAAAAAAAAAGAAGGAAGGGAAGAAAGGGGAAGGAAGGGAAAAAAAAGAAGGAAGGGAAGAAAGGGGAAGGAAGGGAAAAAAAAGAAGGAAGGGAAGAAAGGGGAAGGAAGGAAAAAAAAGAAGAAAAAAAAAAAAAGAAGGAAGGAAGAAAGGGAAGGAAGGGGAAAAAAAGAAGGAAGGGAAGAAAGGGAAGGAAGGAAAAAAAAAAGAAGGAGGGAAGAAAGGGAAGGAAGGGAAAAAAAAGAAGGAAGGGAAGAAAGGGGAAGGAAGGAAAAAAGAAGGAAGGGAAGAAAGGGAAGGAAGGAAAAAAGAAGGAAGGAAGAAAGGGGAAGGAAGGAAAAAAAAAGAAGGAAGGGAAGAAAGGGAAGGAAGGAAAAAAAGAAGGAAGGAAGAAAGGGGAAGGAAGGGAAAAAAGAAGGAAGGAAGAAAGGGAAGGAAGGAAAAAAAGAAGGAAGGGAAGAAAGGGAAGGAGGGAAAAAAAAGGAAGGAAGGGAAAAAAAAAAAGGAAGGGGAAGGAAGGGAAAAAGGAAGGGGAAAAAAAAAAGGAAGGAAAAAAAAGGAAGGAGGGAAAAAAAAAAAGGAAGGAAGGGAAAAAAAAAGGAAGGAAGGAAGGGAAAAAAGGAAGGGAGGGGAAAAAAAAAGGAAGGAAGGAAGGGGAAAAAAAAGGAAGGAAGTGAAAAAAAAAAAGGAAGGGAAGAAAGGGGAAGGAAGTGAAAAAAAAGAAGGAAGGAAGGGAAAAAGATGGAGGAGAAGAAAGAAGAAGGGGGAAGAAAAGGGAAATTTATTCAGTGCTGATAATAAGAAGAAGCAGGAATCATTTTTAGATGTGAGTTAATTCGAGTTTATGCAATGAAGAAAATGTAACTGATACAGTTTCTAGTTTGCTTAAATATTACTGTTGTTCATTTGGTGCTACAGAAAAACAAATTAGAAAATAAGTGAAAAATGGTAAAATCTTGATACTTACATCAGTAAATTTGGTATTTTTTTTATAGTATTTTTTAAAAATTTAATTTTGTTTCTTTAATCAGGTTATTGTAAGCAAGTATTGGCGCTGGTTAGTATTCCACCACAAGCAGTGAACTATGTTCAAAGCAAACACCATTCTTGCATGATGAAAAGAAGAGCCTTGTATGGTAAATACAGCAACCAACAGCAACAGTTACAAGCTGCCAATCTTCGACCTGCCTCTGTTACAACCGTCCAGAGTACACCTGCTGAAAACACTGCTGTCAGGTGAGTACATATTTTATTCTTTTCTCTCTTTTCTCTTCTCTTTTCCCCTCTCCTCTCTCTCCTCTCTTCTCTTCTCCTCCTTTGTCTTTTTACCCCCCCCATTTTAAAAATTTTGCTTTATTTGCATAAAACACATGATCTGATTTATGTTAATGTGTATTTTTAACAGCAAAAATGACACATCATAGCAAGACTTTCATAAGGGCAATACTATTAAAAGGGACTCACTTGAAGAATAAAGCAGTTAATGTTCAAAGTGGATCATTTAAACAAATCAGCCATAAATAATCTCCATGCCTTTTTATAGTGAACTTCACAATTTGTTGTTAGGTAAATCACTTTCCTATATTATTCGGCAATGTGTGTTAGCAGAAATAACTGAAACGTGCACCTGTTTAAAAGATAAATGATAAAAGATTGATTTTTTTTCTATATCTTTTTCTCTTTTCTTTCTTTTTTTTTTTCTTTCTTTTTTTTTTTTCTTTTTCCTCTCTTCTTTCTTTTCTCTTCTTCTTTTTCTCTTCTTTCTTTTTCTCTCTTCTTTCTTTTTCTCTCTTCTTTCTTTTTCTCTCTTCTTTCTTTTTCTCTCTTCTTTCTTTTTCTCTCTTCTTTCTTTTTCTCTCTTCTTTCTTTTTCTCTCTTCTTTCTTTTCCTCTCTTCTTTCTTTTCCTCTCTTCTTTCTTTTCCTCTCTTCTTTCTTTTCCTCTCTTCTTTTCAATGACAAATGTTTGGCATGTATTATCAATTTATATTGAACTGTTGTAACATTCATTTTTTTTCTTGTTTCCTCACTTGTATTGCATGAAATCTTGAAAAAAAAAATTCCTTGAAAGAATTAACTTTCTTTTTGCACGTGAATGCATGAATGTATTTTTAAAAGAACTTTTTTTTTTTTTTTTTTTTTTCAATTAATAAATAATAGAAAAGATTATTGTTCAAAAAATAACCTATAAAAACAAATTACTTCTCCATTGTATCCGTCAAGTTTTATCTGGGGAAACAGAAGCAAACTATTGTTTTAACATCATTAAGACTTCGTTAAACTCTTTTAATAAGGATTAAATAAATTTCGAGAATGACTACTAACAAATTTTCATATTGGCATCTTGTTACTCACATGTTCAATCCATGGCATTCTCAGCATCCTTCTGTAGAATCATGTCTCTGTTGCCTAGTGGAAATGCTTTATCTAAAGAACAACAGTAATAAAATGAAATATAATTCTTAATATAACCTCAATATGGTAACAATAATGAAATATACTGTAACTAGTAATATGACAGTACTAATGAAAATGCTTCATCTAAAATCAACAAAGCAAGGTGAGGAAGCATGCAGACTGAAATATGGTGATGCTTTGCTCTTAAAGAATTTCTTGATATCAAATAATAAAAATACATTTTTAAATGTGGCAAAGATTAAAAAATCCTAATTAGATAATAAACCTGAATTTTTGTGTTCCAGCACTTGTCGGATACAATGGGTGAAACTATATTGTCTTGGTTCTATGTTTTATCATTTTAATGTTATTTTTATTTATTTATATATATTTTTAAATGTCTGCTGAGTCATTAGGGGAGGGATCTCCTATTATTTCATTTCCTTACTTTTGCATTTACAATTAGTTTATTCAACTAGAAGGCTCATGGCAAATCTGTGTGATTTCTCATTTTCGGCATGGCTGCTTATTTCTGAGTATGCCAACCTGTGGTTTATTTTATTTTTTTTTTTTTTAATTTTAAGTGTTTCACCCCAACCAAGGCAGGAAGCCACTATCATGCAAGAGGTTACAGAAAGTTGGAGCTAGAGCAAATAGGAGTGATATAGGAAAGGATGAAGAGAAGGATAGGGGATAGATCAAGACATCTGGAGACGTCAATTGACATTACATTTGAATAGTTGGAGATTATAGCTATCATTTTTGATGGGCTGAATACAGAGACCTGGTGCACTACATTCCACAAGGTCCCCAAACGTTTAGTAGTGATTTTATAACATATGTTATAATTTTTGAATAAATTATATTTGCTCTACTCTGTATTGAGCACTCTTTTAAGAATAGTATTTTTGATTATTGGAATTTATTCTGTATAGACTAGTCCTATGCAGCAAACTTTCTTTCAAACATGTTTCAATGAATATGACAGACAAGGAGAATTTGATTTAGTCTTTCAAATATTCTTAGATTTTTTTTTTTTTTGTGCTGGTAGTAAAGGAGTGTAAAAATTGTCCTAAGTGTTTTTGGTCACTTCTTTAGCTATTTTCAAGGGGGTTTCATTAAGCGTTTTTAATTTCTTTTTGTGTTTGTCTGTTTAAGAAGTAGTATTTGTGGTTTCCAAATAGTAGTAGTTTTATTCCAAGGCTTGCGAGTTGAGCATGGTTGGAATTCTATTTTTAAAAAAAAAACCTTCGACACGCCATTTCTGCTGCTGAATAAGGTGAGATTTACACTGGGTGCCAGATGTTTTACGTAAAGTGAGAAGTTTTCACAGCGATATGTTTCCACTAATGAGACCTATATAAGATGCTTGTGTTATCAACCAGAATCTTTATGTGTTGTTGTAAATTATGAATGGCTAAGTGCCTTTTTATGGCACTTTGGTCAATTAAGTGACATGTGAGGTGTCCACTGAAGTATGACTGATATAGCTAATTGATTTTTGACAAATACAGTCTTGTATTGGCACTGAAATCGATACACTATATTATTGGTCATATATACTCTATCCCTGATACAGAGTGTGTGTATATATATATATATATATATATATATAAAAAACTCTGTGGAAGTGGTAGAAATTCTAAACAGCGCTCGAAGATATGTAGTTGTGATTCCACACTGGGGTGTCCTTTTTAGAGAACCAATAACATTACTACCATTATCAAATAGGGTAAGGTTGAGGCTTAGCAGAAATTGTTTTATATGAAGAGCTTCGGTTATCTTAAGATGTCTTTTACAAATAGAATTCTTTTAGAATGATGGTGCCAAAACAAACACTTGGACACCCTACGCACAACAACTTGATAAAATTCTTGATGATATTGGAGGACTCCCATAATACCCTTGCTGTACTTAGCAGACCTTTAAAAATCCATTTAACAAATATATAGCTATTACTGTCACTTACGAACTATATTTCTGAATCCGAGTTCACTCTTCCACAAATTTGGTACCTTGCCTGTTTGTCAACTTTGTGAATGTCTAATATTTCCGTTTGTCTGTTTTTTTTTTCTTGCCATAGGAATTGCATGGCTGGTCCACTGCCCCTGACCAGCACTTCCACCTCTGCTTCCTCTAGCTACAGCATAAAAGACACCTTCGACACTGTCCCCCCCATGAATGGCAGCTGTCCACAACAGACCAGTGCATGTGAAAAAATGAGACCTTCAGATTGTCCATCTACTAAAATAGAGTTGCCTTCTCAGGCTATAAATAGCTGTGACTCTCGTAAGAGTGTTGATATTTACGGAACGTTACCCAAGAACCAGCCCAGACAGTTTGAGGGCAGTTCAGCTTCACGTGAGGCAGAAATTTACCAAGAGTTTCTCAGTCGGCAAAAACAGCTCAATCAACAAAATTCACTGGCATCAAGTGGAAGGGCCTACACACCAACTCCTCACTCTAGCAGTAGCCTTGCGGGTTATCCAAGCTGTACCCAGATGCGTCCCTCGAGCACAATAACGGTTTCTCACAGTCGCACAGACTCTACTCCCGAGAGTGTGGCTTCATGTGACTCTGTCATGACCACAGTTCCTAACCTGCATTCTGCCAACAATTTTGCACCTTTGCGAATGAACAAACAAGAAATTCGTCAGCTTCTCCAACAGGACATGATTTATCGACAAGGAACGGGGAATATGAATCCATCAACGTCCTCAAGCAGCTGTAACCAAGACCTCAGTGGGTCTCGTTTACTGCCGACTGTACCTTCGCAGTACAACCAACACCTCTACACAACCCAGCCTAATGCTCGAGATATGAATGTTACCAACAACCGAATAACAATCCCTTCATCTGCACCTCAGCCGTCTTCAAGTCATCTTACAAGTGGGTCTAACAAAGTTGCTACAACTTGTGCTATTGTGACACGGTTTGCTGCAAGCCATACGTCACAGAAATCTTCTGCCAGCGCATCTACTACTACTACTACTACTACTACTACTACTACCTGTGTTACTAACTTGGCGGTCAGTCCGTCATCTTATACTAAGCTTACCACTGCTACTATTTATCAAGTTAAGCCTGGACTTCATCGTTCTGAACCCAGTTGTATTGCTACTAAATCCAAATGTAACAGTATTTCTGGGCCTGCACGAGCATCTATAGCTGATCCTTGCTTTCAAAATGCATGCTTTAACAAGACAGGTACTAACAATACTAGTTCTTAAACATTACCATTACCTCACTCTCTCTCTCTATCTCTCTCTCTCTTTCTTGGAAGATATTTTTTTTGTTGTTGTTATAGTTGCATGAAGTTTTTATTTTTTTGTAAGTGTCTACATTTAACATTGTCTGCTTGAAAAATGAATTAATGATTTATGTGAATTTTTTTTTTTTTTTTTTTTTATACGGCTTATCACCATTTTGCAGGTTATTTAAAACCGGGAAAAAATATTTAGATTGTAAAGTCCTATTAATTAACCCATAGGCAGGAGGAGATTAGATAAATTCAAACCTTTCTCAAGGATATTTGCATGTCAGTGAATATAACTGGGATTGAAACCCTGCCGAGATATGGCTGTAACACTAATGACTTGTTCTTATGTTGTATCTTCTCTCTTGGATTGTGATCGCTCGATAGTTTGAGCCCTGAGAGAAAAGAACTTCAACACAGGGAATTTTAACTTAACTATTTTATTAACGTTCATGTTGACATGTTCTGTCTGTCCAGTGGGGGTTGTTTTCACTCCACTGGGGAGCCATTTCAGACACAAAAGAAAACATGTCTACATTATTTGACGGTTAAGAAACAGCACACTGAAAACCCTTTCTCTGTCTGTCATTCTCACACTGGTTCAGCCAATCAAAATTGACTTCCTTATTTTGTCTTCTATCTGACCTCAAAGGTCAGTCTCACCAAGCAGAGATACCATTCCTCTAAAAAAAAAGAAAATAGTCTGCTAAACTATTATTTAACACTTACTCTTCTTTAGTAACAGGTATTAATAACCTGAAAACCATTCCAAGAGTTAACACAGGCCTTGTGAGTGAAATCTGTAGACGGAATACTTGGGGCTGTCAATAGGACTGCTAGTACTAAGTCACAAGTCATCATGACTGAGATTTTGAGTGTGCTGGTGTTGTTGATCATTCTAGATAACACGCTCTTTCCCAGAAACCGTTACTAAGGTCTGTTCAGTATAGTTGCAGTATAAACCACAGGTGATTTCTGTGGGTGTTGAACAAACACAAATGTGCCTGAGTGAGAGCCTACAGTTATCCTTGAATACGAGTTGCCAGCTATTATTATTATTAATAATCGTAAACAATTTACAAGCAGAATTCTTTCTTTACCTTGAGTAAATAATGAGAAGAATGAAAACAAAATAAATGCGCTGTACATTTCAATCAAATCAAAAATGGTAACAAAAAGATTTCTTGTATTTTGAAACAGAAAAAGAAATTCAAAATTTCTGGGATATATTAGAGGGCTTGGAGAATTTGACTTAAAATTTACTTAGAAAAACATAAAAGAATTCCTGTACTTAAAAAAAAAGCAAGTTGAAATATCTTGTTCAAATTTTGATAAATCTTTTCTTGTTCAACATGAAGGCTATTTAATTTCATTTGCCTGGGACAGGTAGTTACTCAGATATTCACATTTTAAATGATGTCATATTTTTTTTTTTTTTTTTTTTTTGGACATCCTGCATTATAGAGGTTCCCAGCTGGTGTTTATCTCTACGCTAGGTCTACTGAGGAGATTATCATTGCTTAACATGTGCTCATTCTTTCAGTTGTCTTTCTATTATCTTGACTTCATCCCACAAGGGTCAGTGATCAACTCTTTTATCCTTTCATATATGATCAGCCATGCTTTGTAGTTTTGTTGCATTACTAATATCTGCTGCAAGCTTACCCATGATAAAATAACAACTTTGCTTTTTTATTTTATTATTGCTTAATGCAACAACGTTACTTTTTGAATGTAAGAAGGGTTTTATATATATATATATATATATATATATATATATATATATATATATATATATATATATAATTATTATATTTTTTTTTTTTTTTAATCTGTTTCATATTTTTGGGGTTTTGCTTTTAAGATCAGTAAAGACATACCACCAATTTTCCAGTAACTGATAATCCAACACCACTTTAATGCCCTATAGGTATATTGTGGAACAGAAATCCAAAGAAGGTTGGTTTCTGCCCGGTTTAAAAGAAATCCCGCTCCCCTGGGGGTCAGTTTCTGCCCAGTTTAAAAGAAATCCTCCACCCCTGAGGGTTGGTTTCTGCCTGGTTTAAAAGAACATTGCCACCTCCACCCCATATATATATATATATATATATATATATATATATATATATATATATACTCGACTCTCCTGTCAAGATTCGACGTATGAGGGTCAGCCAGATCAGTTCCCAGGAAACCGACAACCCAACAACAGCACATGAGATTTGATTATAGTGGTGAAGGTTTCGTGCAGGACCATCCATACTTTTTGAAGGGCCAAATACAGAGACCTGATGCACTAGGTGCGACAAGGTCCCCTAACAACCCTCCACAGGTTTTGAATTCAGAGTTGTCCTTCTCCTAGACCAGTTGCCATCCAAGGTTATAGAACCCAGTCTGTCCTACTATTTACCCATAGCTGGAGGGAGAAGAAGAGGATTCACCCTTTTCCCAAGGGTATTAGCATGTAAGTGAATGTAATGGATTCGACTGGAACTTGGCTCTCTGATTCCTCAATCCAAGCCGCTGTCCATTACTCCACCATGCCTCATATATATATATATATATATATATATATATATATATATCGCATTTGCTCACTTTTGTTTATTAGATATTAAATTATGTCACTTAGCATCTTCCATAATTTAATTGATTTTTTTTTTTTTTTTAATTTAAAAATTTTGAAAAAGTAACATTTTTACTTTAGTTTATAAATACTTGTTGCAAAATAAAATCCTCACACTTGCCTTGATAAAGTCCATCAGATGACAACAAGTTTCGGCTAAGATAAGTTTCCCCCCCTTGTCTTTATTCATATTGTCCTCATTTTATCTTTATTCAGATACATTTAGTTATGCCTGAAGTTTTACACACACACACACACACACACACACACATATATATATATATATATATATATATATATATAAGTGGCAACTCTAGGTCATCAATGTTTATTGGGCTCATAACAATATTTAACAAAATATAAGATTGGTATAACTTGGATGCTAAAATGATCCTTTACTCTAACTAAAACATAATTTTTAAAAATCTCTGGACAGATAGTTTTTTTTGTTTTGTTTTTTTTAAATGTGTACATCTATCTTAAGTGTTTCTTTGTATATATGTCAATGCGTTAGTGTTTATGTATCTCACTGTACATTTATGATCAGTACTCTACTCCAGTCACACACCTCACCCCAACCCTCCAGTCGACAAGTTAAAGCTACCACTTTATTTGATTTTCGCCGACTTTAGGTTGGGCTAAATTTAATTTGCCCTTTTTCAGTTGATACATTGTGTCAAAAAACCTGTATGTAGTAAGTTATTTCTTTCAAATATCAATTTTAAATAAGTTGAAATAAAAATGTGTTTATTTTATTTTATTTTTTTTTTTAAAAAAAAACAGGGCATACAAAGTCATTTTTTAAACGATTATTTACAAAATTAAAGCAAGAAATAAATTGCCTATTAAGCAGGTCTCCAGCACAGATAGGGCTCAGATCTACGTAGCCTGACAAGGCACATAATTTTTATTTCATTTTTTTTATTTACTTTCTTTCCTTCTTTATTAAGAACAATATCAACAAAATGTATTTTGGTCAATATTTTAAGACACAGAGTTAAAACAATTAGTTTTGGTTCCGGCTGAATTCAAGAATGAAAACTGGGGATCCACAAAATATTTTTGTTGCTTTGAAATGGATATACTTAAATGAATGTTGACTCACTCAGGCTGAGTCTGACAAGCCTGCCTGCTGGAGTCACCACTGAGATATATATATATATATATATATATTGAACAATAAAAAAAATATTAAAAAGTTAAAATCTTCAGACACACTGGGTCGTATATTAATATTTTTTTGTTTGTATTATTATTTCACTTAGCTTCCTCAACTAGTTTCGACCAACATGCCCATCATCAGGAGAAAAAAATTTTCTGCTTGCTGGTAGCAGTGAACTACTGAAAGGAATAAATAAATATATATTTTCAAGGCAAAAATGTAATCAAAATGTTTTTGTTGTTACATTAAAAAATCCAAATTTAAAAAGATAGACGCTTCTGTCTAAGCCTTTTTTTTCTGGTTAATGTAAATTACCTTTATAGTAAGGGATTTTTTTTTTTTTCAATGTCGACAATATAGTTAAATTCCCAGATGAATTCTGTGGACAAGACAGATTGGTATAAAACTATATATATATCCGAGTATAGGATTAGTGTATACAGAATAAATTCCAATAACCAACAATTACTATTCTTAAAAGAGTGCTCAATACAGAGTAGAGCAAATATAATTATTTATTTGAAAATTATAACATAAATATGTTATGTTATAAAATCACACATTTATGTTATAATTTTTGAATAAATAATTATATATATATATATACATACATACATGTATGTATATGTAATAAATAAGCACTAACCTAACCCCATTTATAGAGTTAACAATGCAAGATATTTAGATTCATGTCACAAAGGAGAGGGTTTAGAGTAAACTTTGGCCATTTATCGTGAAACCCGACTTAACCCCCCCCTCCCCCACATCCCAAAGTGGTGTTGATTGTCTATGCTTATCGTTTCTCATTTGTGTTAATTGTATTAATGGATCCTTTGGATTTTCATTTTAGTGACAAACCCCATTCCAAACAACAATGCCAGACCCTCCTCTGCCAACAGTGCACCTCAACAGGTAAATCTCTCTCTGCTTTGAAAATTACATACAAAAGGACATTATTATTTATGTTATTTACAGTCACACTATTTTTGTCAGCTTTGTTATTCTCACAACGTTTTGTCTGTCTAGATCCCCAGTCTTCTTCAGGTGTGGATAACCTTCGGGGAATTTAAAACTGAAACCTTTTATTTAATCTACTGGGATAGATTTTTTGTGGACAGTGAAATGAAACCAATCTATGCCTGTAGAATAAATAAAAAGTTCTGTTCAGAATTCCTTGAAGGTTAGCATTGCTGTCAAAACATGCTGGTGATATTGAAGTAATTTCTGGTATCAGGAGTTATTGCTTACATCCAGACTAATGTTTTCATTGTTATCAACAGTAATGTCAGCAAAAATATTAGTAATAGTTATAACACAGCTCTATGCTAACTGCTTGAAAATTACACACATTCATAAAACATCAATACTGGACTCTCATTAAATAGACATATTCATGATTTTCTATCATACTAATTATTTCTGTTGTGTTGTAAAACACAGACAAAAAGTTTTTGTGGAACTTTGTTTTGTGAGGATCTTTGTAATTCATTTCTTTCAACTTGAATAGACAACAAATAATAAAATTTATTTAAATTTGTGGAGCCATGTTTGAAGATTATTTCTTTTTTTTGCATTCTGTACACTTTTTTCTCTACATGTTTTAGCTTCCATAGGGTGATCAATTTACAATGAATTTATGTAGTAAAACTATACTTGATTATTACCCTCCTTTTTAATATTTAAAAACAAACAAAAGGATATTCATGATCTGGAGTGTTTAATCTACAGTAAAATGAAAAAAAGAAATTCTTTCTGGTTGCAGTGCCCATTGTACGATTACCTCCTTAAAATTTGTGTCTCTGCTAAAAGATTTATTTATTTATTTATTTTTTAGATTTCTGGATGCACCCAGGGCGACAATCTCGCATATAGCAACCAATCGGAAAGACGATACTATTATGATGATGAACTATCTCGACCCAGTGTTAAGGACCTCGCCTCAAAGTTTGAAGATGTTAGCATCAACAAAAACGCCTCTGCTGACAACCTGTCCACCACTTCAGCAGATGTTGGCGAATCAAGTGACTTGTCTCGGCACTCCTTCCGCATGCGAAGCAAATCGGAATCCAGTTCGACGTTACCAAAACCTGCCCTCAGCAAGCACCAATTCCAGCAAGGAACACGCCCTCGCAAGTCTGTGACGTTTTGTGACAGTATTGCCCTGATTTCCCTGACTGATGATATTTATCCGTACGAGGTTCATACAACGACGCATAAAAATCTGGAAAACGAATGTGACAGCAGCAGCTGCAGTAGCAGCTCTGCCAGTGATGACGTTCTGGAGGGCGGAGCATTGCCTGAAACTCCATTATGTAGCTTGTGCCAAAAAAGACAGATAGTCAAGGGACAGACCTACTGTCATAAATGCTCGTTCTATATGAGTCGTTTCCAGCCAAACAGTTAAGTTCTTAATTCTGGAGAAAAAGAGTGATATATACGGAGAGAGAGACTGTGCTTTCATCCAAGAAAAAAAGGGGGGAAAAGCTAAAAGAGGTAAAATCTCTAGCTCTGTGGCATTTTTCTCTTGTCTTAAAAAAGAAAAGACATGGTTTTTTTTTTTGTTGTTGTTGAGTGCTACCCTCTTGGATGTCACCAGTTTTTCAGAAAGAAGGAAATTTATAATATTTTTCTCTCGACCTGTTTTTAATCTTAAAGAACCCCTTGCCTGCCTACAATATAAACAGGTCACTAGGAATTTCGTTTCACACTAAGTAAGGCTGAGTAAAATTCAAACAAAGAATAACCATGTCTTCTAAATAAATCTATTTGGATGGCGGGATTGAGAAAATTTAAACGTTTTCTTGGCTGAAAGACATGCAAAAGAGTTATCTCCCCCTCGCTAATACTAACTCCATGTTTTGTTTGCTTGGCCTTGACCCATGTTTTCTTTTGAGTCTGGGTTGTATCTACTAGATTTTTTTTTTTTAACAGATAAATACCATTAATTTGGGGACAAGCCTTGTCATGTCCTCCATGAATTAGAGAAAAAAAATTGTTCTGACTTTAATAAGATCAAACTTTTTTTTTTTTTTTTTTGATAGTCTTTAAATTAACTGATTACCTAAACTCACCTTTTTCCTTCCTTTCTAATTAATTATTATTAATCTACTTCTCTGAATATCTTAATTCCCTGTATAGGCTAGCGTGTCCATTAATTATTACTTGACCTCAATTGTTGGAATAATTTTCAACAGCCAATTAACATTGTCTAAATAAATTCAAATCTACCGCCTTGCCTGCCCCTTATATTGATTTATTTTATACAAGACAAGACAAACCAGCTATTTACGTTCACAATGAAAATTAATAAGTAACACAGCTCGTAAGGTGTTATAATTATAGCATTTCTAACACTCCTTTCGTCTTTTTCTCCATTTTTTTTTTACCTGTTAATTAATGAACAGGTTATTATTTACTTTGCTCACCCCCTGGCAACAGATGGTTAGAGCAAATAAAGGTTGCAGCACTCCGAGGAGATAGGAGCTTAACCAAACGTTGCAAGATGGCGAAAGAGAATAAGACAAGGGGAGGTAACTCCTCTAATATTAGTATATTGTTTTGTTGGTAATACATTTCCGATAAGTGGATCGGTAATTGTGAAGTTATTACCAATCTATTACATAAATGCATACGTTCTCAAAACCTATCTAAAATTTATTTGTAGGGACTTTTTTTTTTTTTGTAATAATCCCAAAATTTTAGTCTATATGAAATGAATATCATTGTTAAATATAAGTAGTATTTTAAGCTAAGTTTAGCCTCTCCTAAAGCCACATTATGAGACATTCTATGAGAATCAAACTCACTAGTACAGTGAAGTACTTAAATAAGTTTACTAAGTTTAACTAAGTCTGGTACAAGGTAGATAGGTTTGCCTACTGTCCGGTTCGCACTTCTTCCTGGTCTTTTGAATAGGAGTAGAGGTTTATCCTTTGTTTCTTGTTCCTTCTAATCTTCTAATTCTCTTTCACTCTAAGTAGCCCCTTATCACCTTACTTGGAGTGAATTGATTAAAGAAATGAAAAAGAGGAGAGTTGTCTTGCAAAAATCAGACCCTCTATGCTAATAAACAGTTTACCCAATCTTAGTAAAAAGTGTTTTATGTTGGGTATAAAACAGAAATCATTCTTAGTTACAAAGCTTGTCAGTCTTTGCTAAGACTTTAATATTTAATTTCAACTATTCTGTAAGTTGTTAATACAGCAAAATTTGTTATCTTTAAATTTATAATTGTCAATTAATTTTTGTATCATTTAAATGTTTTATGTAAACTTGTTTATAACAAGGAATGTAAGTTGCCTTTTCTTATTTTTTAAAAATCCTTAGCTTAATGTTATTGGCTTGTTATCTAAAATAACTTGTCCTTATATATTCACAGGAAGCAGTGTCCTTTATATTTTAAAAACTTGTTTTTGATAGTTTGTTTTTATTGGTAGTTTAACTTTTGGGAAAAGTTTAACATATGTACCTGCGCAAAAACAAACCTAGAAAACTGCTTTATCAAAAGGATGGTTTTTCCCTTGACATGATATACCGTCACGGCAAATTTTATAGTTTTGAAAGACAATTTTTAGAATTAAAAATGCATTAAAAAATGCAGTCTAAGCATATGAAACTGGATTTAAATTTTTTTTTCTCAGCTCTCAACCTATTTTAATGAATTTTTGTAGGAAAAGTAAATGAAAAATGCTCAAAAAATACATTTTTTTTTTCTTTCAAAATTTACCAGTTACCTAATTTTTTTGTATTTTAAAAATTTTTGAATAAAACCTGTTCATACTTATTTCTTCATATGATAAATAATAAGTATTGCATCATAGTTGGGTCACATGTTTTTATAATTTCGTAAACATAAAAATCATTCTTGTCAATAAACAGTTTAATATTTGTCAATTCTCAAGAAATAAGAAATATATAATTTCTGTTTCATACATTTAGATTTTAATAAAATTCTAAAAATATATTTTTAAAATTGTTATATTCCATGCTAATAGGAATATATACTTGAAAAACAAGGTGGATAAAATAAGTAAAGGTTTATTGTAAAAACACCCAGTACAATATGAATAAAGGTAACAGTTATGCACAAGGTCGTCGCAAGTCAATCCAGTAGTGAGTGCTACTATTGGAAGGTCGGTAGTTCTCATGTAAGTCTGAGTTGTACTCAATAGATCCCAGGTAGTATATTTAGCTACACCCCCACGACGGCTGGATGTGGCACAAGGCCGGTTTAACGTGGGTTCGTGAGCCCGTAGGCTCAACCAAAAGTATTAACTTTTTGAACCTGCATAAATGGGTTCAGGGTCAGTCTTACCTCCCCGAACGAGATTCTGCCCTTCAGCAGAGCCTCGAATGGGTTCATCTCTGCCCAAAGGCAGAGAGTTTGACTGTTTAGCTGGAACAGGTCGCAACTAGTCTCTGCAGTCCATTGACTTATAGGTAGTTACTACTTGTAGTGTAGTCACTAACGGGGGTGACAGGTTATTCTATTACATCAAAAATCAATAGAAATTGCTATTTGAATGATTCTGATGTCAACAGAAAAAAAATGTCCTTTTGATACACCATTGTTTTGCTGGTATGTTAAACTTTGCCATTTACAGTCTGTTAGTGAGCAGTGGGGATAAAATTAGCCTGTTAGAGGCCTTAATGTTGCAAGGTGTTTTTAAGTTGGAGAGAAAAACTATCTTTTTGACACTGTTTTCTTAGCAATTTGTTAAACTTTGCAATTTTTTTTTAATTTGTTATACTTTACGTTTATTAGTACTTTTATATTAATGCTTTATGAGCATTAGAAAAAAAATACAAACAAACCAAATGTCTCTCATGCAGACCAATAAGCATGACAGAAAATCTTGAATTATAAAACGTCTCTTCACATCTTTGTGCCAATTTTTAATCTTGTTTTCAGGCAGAAAGATTGTAGGAGAGTTTGCGTCTTAAACCAAATTCTGAGTACCTACACTTAATTAGGTTTTATTTGATTATTTGTCTCACGCCCAACTATTATTTTATGTTGTACCTGAAACAAATAAGACACTACTGTGACAGGTTTAATAGTAAAAAAAAAAAAAATTAACCCTTAATAAATCTTTTTTTCTTAAATCAATCCATTTAAGGAAAATCACTTTAATTTTGTTTTCTACTTTAAAATTTAGGATTAAATTTTAATTCAAGTAAAGTTAAGGATACTATAATATCTACAGTTAAATATTTGGGGTGCCCTCCGCGATCTAAAATTCCTTAGCTCGACCAGTTTAGCCCTCCACAGTCAGGAGCTATTGTGCGACGTACATAGAATCAACATATCTTCATTCCCTTAGTTTTCCTTTGGTAGAGAGGAGGTCTGATTTAGACAGCGTCTTTCACCAGAACTGTTGCATTGTGAAACTCACTCCCAAGAGGATGCTTCCCCAATAACTACAATCTTAACCTGTTCAAGTCTAGGACTAACTGTTATCTATCCTACATATCCTCATAATATGCACTTCTTTGTATGCCGAACAAGAACCTCATTTAGTAATCCTCTACCTTGAGTGGCTTTTGGGTGAACAATTGTGTGTGTGCATATATATATATATATATATATATATATATATATATATATATATATATATATATATATAGTAAGAGTTGATAGATGGAAAATGGGACTAAGTTAAATTTTATTTTAATAAGAATAGTATTCATCCTGTGTGTCTCTTTTAAAACAGTAACTTATTTAGACAAATTTCTTGAGTGTTTCTATTGAATCTTACCAACATATAACTCTGTGCCATATATATATTAGATAAAAATGTGTGATTTAACCATAGTTTTTTTTTTTTTTTTTTTTTTTGTTAGCATAGATGCACCAATAAAATACTTACTTACTGCTGATTACTAGCCATAGCTAATGATCCCTACTTCTAGACTAAAGGTTAGTTTTTTTTCTTTTTTTTTTTCTTACCCGATAAATGGTGGTGGAGATTAAGGTCCCATGAGAGACTTACCGCCAAATCTTATTCTTTAGTCATGTGGAAGTTGTGGAGTAGACATTTAGGCCTTTCCACCTCATAGGTATTTACTAAACTTTATCTTGTGTAGAGGCACTTAGTGACAATCAAACTCACTACACAGAAATAAGGGTGTTGTGCTAGACTAGCTCGTTAACCATCACCCTCTCCCTGGTAAGGCATTTACTTTTATTTCCCTGATTTTGAATTTGCAGGTAGAAAAGATGTGTGTATATATACGTTTTTTTTTTTTTTTTTTTTCCCCTCTCTCCCCATAAATAATTTTTTAAATCCCTACCTACAATCAATTCTTGCCACCCGACACCTTCACAATTAACTTTTTTTCTATTTTTCTTTTGTGCGTGTAAATTCCTTGTAAATAACACCATGTATATAAATGATTTTTGTTCATTTTAGTGGGGACCACAAAATATTGCTTAATTAGGCTTTGTATTTGTCATCATTTTCTTTCCATGTTATTTAAGATGACGGGTGGGTGGCCAAGTGGTTTAGAATGTTCACTTTCCAACCATAAGAGCTGGGGGTGGAGGGTGAGAGAATATATGTTAATATTTGGCCCTTGTTTTAAATAGTCATGTGCCTTGGTTACATTGAGTAAGTCAACGTTTTAATCCAGGTCTCTCAATGTCTGTGAAGGTGTCTAATTATTTGAATTAGTGAAATCATTCTTTGTGCTGCTTTTGTTGTTACTAAAGACAGGAGTCTTGCACGAGGAAGTAAAAAAAGCAAAAAAAAAAAACCTGGATCCATATTACTGTCAACAATCTCTGAAGATGATTGCAGTGTAGTTGAAACAATATACACTTTTTTTTTTTCTTTTTTTTTTTTTTGCTTAATAAGCAACTTGTACTCTAATCTGACTAAATCTTAATCCACTTTACTACTGATGCCAATAAGGCTTAAGTAAAAAAAAATAAACAATAAAACACAGAGGCATTAAACACATGAGAGCGTCATTGTGTCCTTTAGATTCAAAGCACCTTTGATATATCCATCCTTTTCTGTTTATCCGAACAATCAAACTGGAATGGCCCCATCTTAATGCTGCATACTAACTAATGCAGGAACAGTTTTTTTTTATACCCACTTCTTTCAATTATATATATATATATATATATATATATATATATATATATATATATATATAATTTCTATCTAAGTGGTATAAGACATTTCAAAATTGGTCATACTGACCAGCTAAAGAGAAAGAACAACAAAGGCGAAAAATGTCAGAAAATATTCCTGTTGCTATGTTCTGAATATGTGGACTTGTATGCACGTCATTAACAGGACTGAAGTGCTACATATGACAAACTTAACTGAATGAGGTCGCTGGATCCTCATACGTCAAAATCAATGGAAGAGTCCTCTCTCTCATATATATATATATATATATATATATATATATATATATATATATATAAATATATATATGGCTCTAGTATGGCTCTAGTAACCAAAGCCAAGTTGAAAAAAAAAAAATATATATAAATAAAGACTTAACAAATACATTATTTTATACTGTATTCAAGAATTCAACCAAGTTTAGTTACATTGAATGGTCTTTCTATTCTGTTTATTACTCTTAAAAATCTTAAAAATTACCTAACAACAAACACAGCACAAAGTATAATGTTGGAACTAAGTGACATCTCAGAATTTATAGACAGATTCGTACATTTTGGAAGTACATGTTCTCTATTCATCATAATTTATTGAATTTTACATTTGACATATGTTCAAGCTGGAGCAGATTTTAAGATTCTGTTTGTGTGCATGGTTATTTGTTATTCAGATATAGGGCAGTTAAGTTAATCATTTTTGATTAGCTGATATGTCATTGTTTTTATTATCTTGTATCATTATCACTCAAAAAAAAAAAAAGTACCTATTTGGATTTTTCTTTGTGCCTCTACTACCATATATATATATATATATATATATATATATATATATTACTCAAAATTTGAGATGTTTGGGTTTCTTAAAATAGTGTAAAAATGCTTTGTATTTTGGTTCATTTAAACTTTTTAAAAATCACTTTTTGGCCACTTTACCTTTACTCGGGTGTCTGAAAGATGAAGAAATTTGTCTGAATACATCAAGAATGTATAAAGCTGGATAAGTATCCTTTGTAAATTTTGTTTTGATTACCTGCAACTCTCCCACCCAGCCTTAAAAAAAAAAAAAATTACCCAGAACTATATTTTGATTATTGTTTGTTTTCATTGACTTTTTTTATCCAATATCATTTCTCATGATTTCATGGAGAGGAGAAAAAAAGAAAAAGGGCCTCTCCTGCAGTCCACAAACCCAATACCAATCATTGTTGGCTTAACATCATCCTCACTATCAATTGATCATTTTATTTCTTCTTTTATCATCTCAGTGTTTACTTGAGAAATTAAAGTCATCATGAATCACTTTGTTGTTCCTTTTGTTTTTATAAACGTTTTGCATTGTATGAAAAAGTGGAATAAATAAAGCAGTGGTTAATACTTTGCAGATTAAACAACAACAACACCTGCATATTTTAACATTTTTTTTTTTTTAAAACTAGGACAAATGACTTATGGACAGTACAGGAACGAAATAAAATGACATTTAAATAAATATTGAATTTTTTTTAAATATGTCATTAATATGTGAGAGAGATATATAGATAGATATACTAATAGTGAACCTAAAGTGTTTTCTGTTAGTGAAAAGTTGGAAGTTCTCACTTTAATAAGGGTGAGTAAGCACACAGTAGTAAATTAGTTATTTGGTACAATCTGGAATTATTAGGTTGGTGCAAAAATAATGACGTAATGTCGTTTTTTGATGTATTTTTTAACATAAAAAAAACGACATTATTACATCATTTTTTGCACTAACTCAATCTAAGACCTACAAAATATTGTAATAAGAGTCTTGTTATTTTTCTTCTTTAAATTATTCCAGATTTCATTTAGTTTTTGTTTTTATCACCTATTAAATGAAATCAGCTAGATTATATACCAAAAATATAGTTGTGTAAAAAAAAAAAAAAAAAAAAAAAAAAAAAAATTTTTCTTAGTCGCATCAATATAAACCTTGTCATGAGATTTCTCTAAAATTGTTCTTGATCTATGAAAATTTATATCATTTTCCTATTATCCCTCCAGAAAGAATCTTCAATATCTGTCTATATCTCTGAAATGAAGTATTATAATTACTTGCATTATTTAGACTGTTATTCTCATAGCCATATTCACAATGTTTCAGCCATTGTATATGCCAGCCTTCTTCAGGTGATTGGAATTTTTGAACCAAACCCTTTATTTCATCCACCAAAAAAAACACAAAGTTATGCTAGAATAAGGTTTTTGCATAATTCTGAAACTTTGTGAAGCTTCCAGCAGCATACCTGAATTTCGGGGCACCTCAAGCGGTGCAATGGTTAGCAACCTTGTATCGCTAGAACAAATATGACTGAGTAGTGAGTTTGATCCTCACTGGGTGCTCCCTACTTTCGGCCTTGTGCCACATCTAAGCTACGCTTCCCGAATCTTGTAATTATAAATAAAGTGTTCTTTAAGAGAGCATTCTTAATTCTCCTTTGAATTTGATCCATGTCTAGGTGTGTCTGCTGCTTAGAACATCGAGCGAAAGTCATAAGTGTTAACCCAGAGACATATGAACAAGAAATAGTGCATCTTATCAATTTACCAAATTTGTACCTAAATACTTCGGACATTTAAACATAACCTCAAAATGTTTTTTATTAATATTTAGCAAGTGGAAAGTCAAATTTTCATGATCAGTCGAGTAACTTTTCAAAACCCTATCTCTAGCAACTACAAGGAGTTTCTGGTTCTAGTCATATTGTGCAAATTACAAGCACGTGACTGATGGTCTCATAATTGGGGTAGAACTGCATGCAAAGACTGCAGTAACTCTGTTCATTGTTTTGAATATGAAAAAATTTCTTT